GGACCTCAGGGCAGGGGAGCCGATGCGTCAGGACTCCCAGGAAACAGTGGACCCAGACCCCCGACGCCATGATTTTTTGCATGCCGCGACCCCCAGAGGTCCGGACCTACTCGCCGGTGCCGGTTCTTCACCCCGAGTCGTTTTTTGACGGTCCCGAGGGCCGGCAAGGGCCCCCGGAGGCCGAAAACATAGAAAAACCCCCCGTCGTGATTTTTTCATGGCTCGAGGGGGTGGGGAGGCGTCGGATCTCAGGGCAGGGGAGCCGAGGCGTCAGGACTCCCGGGAGGCCATGGCGGCGGACACCCGCGGTCCGCCGCCCCGCCAGGAGCCGTGCGCACCCCCGTCCGCGCGGCCCTCCCGAGAAGACCCTGGAGGCATCGGCGGCCCAGGTTAAAGGGGCCCCGGGGACACACAAAGAAATACACAGAAATAGAATGAGTCCCCATCTTTTCCCATATGTTGCGGGGGTTTGTGTCTTCCCCCCCGCTTCCCGTATTTCCCCATATTTTCCAGGGAATCGAGGATTCATTGTGTCTGTGTGTTTCTTTTCCTCCTGGCAGGTAGATGTTCCAGCCCCGGGGGCCTGCCGCCCCCCCCCCCCCCCCCCCCCCCCCCCCCGGGAGCGCCGCCGAGAAGCTCCATGGACCCCCACGCCGGGCCCCCGAGCGGCGAGCCTCGCACGGAGCTGGCCACGGGGAGGGGAGGGGTTCGGCGGCGGGTCGTGGTGGGGGACCCGGAGGAGGAGGAGGAGGAGGAGGAGGAGGAGGAGGAGGAGGAGAGGAGGAGGAGGAGCAGGAGGATAGGAGGAGCAGGAGCAGGATCGGAGGTCGGGGGGTGAGACCGCAGTGAAACGGAGACCCCCCACCGGGAAATCGGTTTCGGTTTCGTGCTCGTGTCGTTCGTGCGGGCGAGGCGAAGCTGCGCGTGATCCTCCTGTAGCTAGGCCGAAGTAGGAGCGAAAGTCCGTTCCCGTCCGCCGGTGGCTGGGAGGTGTCCCAGTTGGGCCGGGCGGTGTCCCAGGTGTCACGGGTGTCAGTAGGAGCGAAAGTCCGTTTCTCGTCCGCCGGTGGCCGGGAGGTGTCCCAGTTGGGCTGGGCGGTGTTCCGGGTGTCCCGGGTGTCCCGGGCGTCCCGGCGCTAACGCATGTCGCTAATTTCATCGTTCATTTTTTTCGGCGCCTGCGGGGGGCTTTCTTATCCAATCCAGCCTATCTGATGCAATCCATCTTGTCCAATCCAGACAGAGAGAAAGAGAGAGACATGTGATCAAGATGACAGGCTGGAGGTCAGTCAGGGTTGGCGTTTGATCTCAATGCCCCCCAACCTCCTTATCGCCGGCAGGGCGGTCGTATAGGTATGGCAGGAGGAGGAGCAGGATATGGCAGCAGGAGGAGCAGGAGCAGCAGGAGGAGCAGGAGCACGAGCAGGAACAGGCGCAGGACATGGGGCCTCACGCAGTGCGAACTCAACCTGGGGCCTCCTCCCGTCCGCAGGGCCCGATCCCTCAGGGCGGGCCCGCGTCTCGGAGCCGACGAGGTGCCAAGGTGGAGGAAGGGAGGAGGAGGGGAGGAGGGAGGAGAGGAGGAGGGAGGAGGAGGAAGGAGGAGGAGGGAGGAGGAGGAGGGGTGCGAGTAGGAGGGAGGGAGGAGGATGGGAGGAGGATGGAGGAGGAGGAGGCAGGAGGAGGAGGTGACGGGAGGAGAGGAGGAGGGGGGGGGGAGGAGGAGGGGGCGAGGATGGGGTGAGGAGGAGGGGGGGAGGGGGGGGGACGCAAACCTTCCGCTTTTCCCAGACCCGATGGACCCTCGATCAGCCACGGCCATCTCGGCTTGCCGACAGGCGCCGCCGGCGGGCGCGAGGCGCAAGGGTGCCTGTGTGCTCCTTCCACCTCTCCCCTCCTCCTCCTCCACTCCCTTCCTCCTCCTCTCCACCTCCTTCTCCTCCTCCCTCCCTTCTCCTTCCTCCTCCTCCCACCCTCCTCCGCTCCTCTACCACCTCCATCCTCTCCGCCATCCTCCTCCTCCTCCTCGCTCCTCCTCCTCCTCCTCATGCCTCATCCACCCCTCCACTCATCCTCCTCCTCCTCCCCTTAAAAACCCCTCCTCCTCTACCTGCTCGCTCGCCCTCTCCTCCTCCTGCTCCTCCACCGTCGCTCCTCCTCCTCCTCCTCCTCCTCCTCCTCCTCCTCCTCCTGCGTTCGCGGACGTGGCGGCCTCGCGCAGGAGACTCCGCGCCGGCCAGCTGCGCGGCACGCCGCGCGTCGGCAGGGAGCGCTCACGCGCGACCTCGCGGCGCGGGCAGCCCACGCGCCAGTGCCCGCGCAGCCGGCCCCCCGCTTCCCCTGCGTCGCCCAGCTGGCGGGGCCAGCTGGCGTCCCCCGCGTCCCCTGCGTCGCTTCCCCTGCGTCGCCCTGCCGCGCCCCCAGGAGGCCCCCCCGGGGCCCCCCGACGAGACCCGCAGGCTGACTTCTGCATGGGCGGGGCCCTTCTGGCGAGGCGGGGCACCGGGTGGCCCCGCTGCCGCCGCGGCCGCAGCGGGCACGCGCGCGCGGTCGCGAGAGCACGGCACGTGCAGGGGAGGGCGAGGAGGCGAGGGGGGCGGCCCCGCGAGAGGGCACGGAAGGGGGCCCTCTCGGAAGGGCTCGGAGGCCCCCGAGAAGCCTCGCGCAGGGCGGCGGACCGGCAGTCTCAGTCGGGCCCAGGGGCCGCCGATCCCGCCCCCCACCTCGCTGGGGGCGCTCAGCCCCGGATCCCCCCCTCCCCTGAGCTCAGACGAGGCAGACGAGATGCTCCGAGTGTCGAAGCGCATGTGCATGTCAAGTCCACGTTGCTGCGCTGCCGTGGCCACGTCCTGCAGCAGCCAGCGTCGGCGGATGCTCGAGGCCTTTGAAGCCCCTGCCCCCGAGCCCCTCCTCAACGCCCTGACAGAGTTGAGGTCGCTCCCCCCCTTTGCTTGCCTGTGAATGGGGTCGTCCATCTTGTCTGCTTAAGCCTGGACCTCATACTCCTCCTCCTCCTCCTCCTGCTGCTCCTCCTCCTCCTCCTCCTCCTCCTCCTACTCAGCTCGTGAGGGAGGCACCCCCGAACATCCGGCCCATCGAGGACCGGCAGCCCCGAGGCCGCACGTCTGCTGGCTGCCACGCCCACTCTCAAACCGCGTCCCGAGTCACAGCTGACCGAGAGCGAAACTGCCGCGAGGCCCCCCTTCTTCCTCCTCCACTTCCATCTCCTCCTCATCAGCTTCCCCTCCCTCTTTTATGTATTACCCCTCCTCCGCAACCTCCTCCTCCGGATCCTCCTTATCCTGTCTTTCATCCCCTCCTCCTCCGCCTCCTCCTTATCCTGTTTCACCAGTTTCACCAGCAGCCGAGGATCCGCAGTGCCGAGGCGGCGCAGAACCTAGGCCAGAGAGAAAACTTATCCCTGTCACGCCCCGAGGCCAGTGTGTAGGGCGGGCCGAGCGTTTCGCCTGACTTCCTCACCACTGACGACCCTGAAGATTCAAAAGTCGGCAACCGTTTCACTAATAGAAGGCGGGCGATTTTCAAGCTGTGGCTCTCGCCTTCGCGCCGCGACCATTCGTTTTTTAAGATTGGCAAGAGCTTCATGGATTGAGGGCGGGTGGTTTTCAACATGTGGCTCTCGCCGTAGCGCCGCGCACATCCGTTCTGACGATGTACGAAAGTTTCACGTATTCAGTGCGGGTGGTCTTCAGAATGTGGCTCTCGTCTTAGCGCCGCGCACATTCTTTTCAAAGATTTGCAAGAGTTTCACGGATTCAGGGCGGGTGATCTTCAAAATGTGGTTTGCCTTAGCGCCGCGCACATTCGTTTCAAAGATGTGTCAGAGCTTCACGGATTGAGGGTGGGTGGTTTTCAAAATGTGGCTCTCGCCTCAGCGCCGCGCACATTCTGTAAAACAATGCAGTTTGTTTCAAAATGTGGCTCTCGCCTTAGCACCACGCGCATTCGTGTCAAAGATTTGCAAACGCTTCACGGATTGAGGTCGGTTCCATTTCGAAATGTGGCTCTCGTCTTAGCGCCGTGCACATTCGTTGTGAAGATGTCCAAGATTGTCACGGTTTCCCAATATCAGCGTACCAAAAAAACGGTGTTTATAGGAAGGGTTCAGAATTATGAGGGCGAGACAGTTACGTTGATTCACGGCGTTGAAGTCCCAGGGATGGCGTCCTGGCGCGATTCAGAATCGTCAAGACGCAACAGTCAGGTTCATCCGTGGCGTTGGAATTCCGAGAACAATGTTTTGGCATGGTCCAGGGTCTACAAACGTTTGTTTTCCAACGAGACAGTTCCCTCCATGGGAATGAATCGATGTAGGGACCTGTGAAGAGAGAGCTTGGAGGGAAGGCTTATTCCAACATCGGTGACGACTCCTGGGTTTACACTGGTCCTCCTCCTCCTCCTCCTCCTCCTCCTCCTCCTCCTCCTCCTCCATCCTCATCCATTCTTCACCGTTTCATTCTCAATGCTCGCCCTCATCGTCCACCTCCCCATCTCCCCCCACCCCTTCCCTGTCTCACTCCTCCTCTCCACTGCCTCTGACCAGAAGCTGGCGGTAAGCCGTCAACCTGGCTAGCGCCTGGGACCTCGTAGAGCTGCCTGTCGTGAGCTCAGAAGACCAGTGAGGTTAGTCAGAGTCGCCTGAAGCAGGCAAAAGACCGTCCACCAACGGAGTAGCGGCAGCAGCGGTGGCGACGGGCTCCGAGGGCGACTCCAGGCGCAGCGCGCAGAGGAGGAGGAGGATGATGATGGTGATCATGATGATGATGATGATGATGATGATGATGATGATGATGATGATGATGATGATGATGATGGTGGTGGTGGTGGTGGTGATGATGATGATGATGATGATGATGATGACGATGATGATGATGATGATGCTGATGATTAGGAGGAGGATGAGGAGGATGAGGAGGAGGAGGAGAGGATGAGGAGGATGATGAGGATGAGGATGAGGAGGAGGAGGAGGATGAGGAGGAGGAGATGGAGATGGAGATGGAGATGGAGATGGAGATGGAGATGGAGATGGAGGCGGACGAGGCCCCTCTAGCGCGGGGGCCCTTCGCGACGTGCTCCAAGCCAGCACGCCCAGGTCTGGGAGCCGCCTCGACCCCTCGAGGCGGCTCCCCGGGCCCGACACCGGCTGCCGCGGGGCCCAAAGCCAGCGCCTCCGAGGGAAGGCGGAGGAACGAGAAGCCCCCTCCGTCCTCCCTCCCTCCCTCCCGCCCGCCCGCCCTCCCTCCCTCCCTCCCTCCCTTCCTCAGGAGCACTGCCTGTAGCGTTCTTGCGTGAAGGATCAAAGACGCAATGCAAAAGGGGAACCACTAGTTCTCCTCATGCATCGTGGTGCCATTTGTTCTGCCTGCGACTGGCTCAACCATTCGCGAGCAAAGGACCGCCAACGCCGACGACGCGGTCGACGACGACGACGACAAGGAGAAGGAGGAGGAGGAGGAGGAGGAGGAGGAGCACGATCAGGACGAGGACGTCGACGTCGACGACGACGACGACGACGACGACGACGACGACGAAGCGCGCCTTCGACCCACACCGAAACACAGATTCGGGAAAAGGACCACCCGGCCAGTTCTGCTACACAGTGCATCGTTTGAGCGGTGCCGAGGCCAACCCCCCACCTCCTGCTCGGGGGGGGGAATCAGAGACTCAGGAGGGGGGGGGAGAAGAGAGAGGGACGGACGAGGGACGAAAGAGGCAGGGCTGGAACAAGAACGGCGACGAGCGAATGGAGAAAGGCAGAAAAGGGAAGGACGCCACCTCAGCAGCGGTCCTCCTGCCGCGGGGGATGGGGCGAGGGGGGCGCGAGCAAAGCCATTGCACCGAACCCACGGGCCTGCTGCCCGCCAACTAGGGGGCGCTCTTGCCCGCGCCCTTCTTGGCCGCCGCCTTCTTGGCCGACGCCTTCTTGGCTGCCGCCTTCTTGGCTCCAGCCTGATTTTTATAGTATGTGTATTATTAGTAAAAAATTTATTAGTATGTTTTTTTTACTGTTATTCTTATTAGTATTATTATTAGTATGATTATTATTGGTAACATTATGATTATTATTATTATTATTATCATTAATAATAGTATGATTATTATTATGATTAGTATTAATATTAGTGTTATTATTATTATCATCATTATTAACATTATTACCATTATTAATGTTGTTATTTTCAGTATCATTATTATTATGATTATGGTTATTATTAGTAGTAGTATTGGTATTATTACTACTGTTGTTATTATTATAATTATTATTAGCATTAGCATTAGCATTCGTATTCTTAGTATTAGTATTAGTGTTGTTGTATTTGATGTTGCTTTCTATGCTTTGTTTGTTCGTGGCTCCCGCCTTCTTGGCCGGCGCCGTCGGTGCCTCGGGCGCGGAGGGCGGCGGCCCGGGCGGTGGCGCCTTCGGCGGAGGCGGCCCGGGCGGGGGCGGCAGTGGCGGCGCCGCCTTGCCCGGCGGAGGTGGGCCCGGCGGCGGCGCCATGCGGGGTGGCGGCGGGGGCGGCGCCATCGGGGGCGGCGCCATCGGGGGCGGCGGCGGTGGGGCGCTGCCTGCCTTTGCCTGGGCGGCCGGAAGAGCCGAACTCGCCAGCCCCCCTCCCACGACTCCTCCTCCTCCTCCTCCTCCTCCTCCTCCTCCTCCTCCTCCTCCTCCTTCCACTCCTCTTCGCCTCCTCTTCTCCTCCTCTTCTCCTCCTGCTCTTCCTCCTCCTTCTCCTCCCCCTCCTCCCCGTTCCTCCACCTCCTCCTCCTCCCCCTCCTCCTCCTCCTCCTCCTCCTCCTCCTCCTCCTCCTCCTCGACCTTCCTCTTTTTGTTCCTCATTTGTCCTCCTTCCTCGTTTCTTTGTCCTCCCCCTTACACAATCCCCCTCTTCCTATACATCCTGCTCCCGCATCCCGTTTTCCTGCCCCCTCTGCCCCTCCCCGTACGCCCCGTGCAATTCCCGCGCTCGCATGCCGGAGAAAGAGGAAGAGAAGGAGCAAGAGAGAGAGAGAGAGAGAGATCATACAGTGTGGGCATTGGATAAGGAACCCTTAGAAAAGGAATCCAGGGTTCTGGAAGCCAGTGGAACTCCAATCGTGGATCGGCCATGGATATCGCCGCCGCCCTCATTGGAGAAGGAATCCTCCAGGGTCTGGCGCCTTTTGGGACTATTCCTTAGCAAACGCCTCCACCGTAATGTGGCCGTCGCCTAAGAGCCTCGACATTGCGCTCCCTTCTGGGCCCGAGGAGTTTCCTCTTGTGCCACATTCTGGGGAGCGGGGCCGCGCCTGAGCGACCGCGGCCTCCACTCGCGCGGTGGCCAGCCACGGTGTCACGGTGTGCCAGCGTCGGTTCGTCTGCGTGCGGATGCCATGGCAGCGGGCACCCTAACAATCCTAGCATTGGATTTTAAATGTGCTTAAAAATCGACAAGCGCGTTCCACTACTCGCAGAGTCGCTAGTCGCAAATGGCCTGGATCTGCCCCAAGGAAAGTACGACACATTACACCAAAGCAGACGTATGGCTGTTCGGACGTTTGCGAGCATGCACTTTGCGAGCAGTGGAACGCGCTCGGCGAAAAGTGTCGGAACATGTTCCAACAATGTTTAAAGACTGTGTGCCACTTGTTGAAAACATGTTTGGAACACGTGCCCCACACCTGGAAACTATTTGGCAACAGGTTTCCTCGCCATGGATCGTCGTCCACAATCTTCTGTTCAAGCGGGGGGGGGGGCTGGCGGTGACCTGGCCCCGCTGGCGCGCTCGATCTGGCTGGCTTGCTGCCGGTGCTCCGACGCCTGTTCCTGTTGCTCGTCCTCGCTGGTTGCCGCCGACCTCCCCAGCTCCCCTCCTCGCTAGCCAGACTCTAACTGATTCCCACCCCTGCGATGGGCGAGCAAAAAGCAACGACCATCTTGGGATGTGCCCTCAGAAGCTGAGGGGATCCTTACGATCGGCATCGAAGCGAGGCGATGCCAAGCACAAGGATATGGATATGTTTCAAGCTGGCACTTCGCGCCCGCTGGCATGGCGCCGCGCGCCGCGCGCCCCAGGCCCTGCTTCGGAGGGCCTGCCGCGACGCAGGCCGCGGCTCGGAGCGGCCCGCTCTCCCGACCCCAGCTCGCCCTCGGAGCGCACGCGCTCGTCACATTCGCCGTGTGCACCGTTCGCCCCGGCGCGCGCGGAGGGGTTGGCGAAGTCGCCAGCCCCGCCCGGGCGCGCCGTTGCCTTGCGTTGCCGAGAAGAGTGCGGAGCCGAGTGGGGCAGCGGCCGTTTCCGCTTACACATGGCATCTCTCTCTCTCTCTGTATATGCTATACGGGTAAAGAGTATAGAGAGAGATAGAGAGAGAGAGAGAGAGAGAGAAAAAAAAAAAAAAAAAAAAAAAAAAAGAGAACAACCTACAAGAAACATGCCGAGCGCGCTCCGCGCGAGCTCAAGCTCTGCTTGCCATGGGACCATGTGTATGGCGCGTCAGAGGCGCAGTGTCCGGATGATCGAATGTTTGGCTTGGAAGCGCACGCCTTGGCGTGCGAAGTCGCACTGAGGATTGGTATTCGCGGCAGTCCTGGCCCACCTTTAGCACTACAACGGCGCTCCGAAAGTTTATTCCGATTTGAGAGGCACGGCGCCGCGCGAACGCAGCGCAAACGCTACGCTGGAAGGGCGCGGCAATGCATGCCCACTGGACAGGCGAGAGCAGGCGCCGCGCCCCCGTGCGAACCCCGATCCCGCGCGGGGCGCGCTCCCGTTGACAATGGCTCACCCGGGAAACCTGAGCGGTCTGCCCATCGGCGGCTCCTTCGGACGAGGCCCAGAACCACCGAGAAACCGTTGTTGATAGGAAGTGGAAGTTCTAGGCGGTTTGTCCATGTTCGGTTTCTTCGGAGTGGGCCCGAAGACCTCGAGGACGATGTTTTTGCAAGGAAATCTAAGTGGTTTGCACATTTTCGGGTCGTTCGAACCGGACACAATTTTTTAACCGGGCACAAATCCTATGGCATTTGGCCACTTTCAGGTCGGCCGGTAAACTTCTCGGGTCGTCGTATGACCGAACCCGAAAGCTTTTGTTCGAGGAGGTCCTATGCCGTTTGCTCATGTTCGGGTCAGTACACCGTTTGGGATTCAACATCTTCAAGTGGGAAGGGGAACCCGATCCCGCGACCCCGGGCAGGGGTAAAGCTCTGCCCTTGCATTGCACTGGGCCCCTCCGGCCAAACGGGGCGCTGGGCTGCACATGGGCGCGCCGACTCTGCCCTCGCGACACCGCCCCACTCCGCCATTGGGCCCCGCGGGTCTTATCCTGCGCGCGCCGCCTCAGATGGCCGCGGCGAGCACGGTGGCGAAATTGGGGGAACTTTCGGGTCGGCGCAGTATGGCAGCTCTCTTCTGGACCATTTCGCCCTCTGTCTTGGCCCACCTTTCTCTTCCGGACCATGTCGGCCTCTGAGACGATCTGGGAGCCACACATTCGCAACCAATGGAAACTCCAGCAGACGATTCGACAGCACGTTTCGTGGCCTTGGCAAGGTTTGCACGAAGTCGGCCCTCTTGTCGGGGAGACGTAAGACTCGGGTACGGGGGACTCGGGATGGCCTGACGGGGTCATCATGAAAATGACGAGACCCAGTCTCAAATCTGACGCGAGCTCCCGCTGCCAACATCCCACGAAAACTGGGCCGTCAAAATCCAGGACGCGATCGTCAAAAAGCGCCAGCAGTCTGGAGTTCCGGCATACTCGAGACTTGCGCTTCCCCGGGCTTGGAAGACCTGCGTGGGGGACCCCGCGTGCCCCACGTGTGCTGCGGCCTGGGGCCCCGGGGGGGCCGACCTTCCGGCACAGGGATGGAAGATGCTGGTGCCCGGCGGCAGGATAGGAGGAGGGAGGTGGCAGGACGAGCAGAGCGGAGGGAGGCGGGAGCAGGCGGAAGCTGGACAGAGGAGGGGAAAGTGGGGACGGGACGGTGGAGAGAGGAGGCGGACGTAAGAGAGAGAGATGGAGGAGGAGGAGGAGGAGGAGGAGGAGGAGGAGGAGGAGGAGGAGGAGGGCAGTGGGAGGACAGAGGGATGCAGAGGGAAAAGGAAAAAAAAGAAGGGGATAGGGGCAGGGCGGATCGCAGAGGCGGGGAGGGGGAGGGATGGGGGCGGGAGGGCGAATCTACGTGGTATACGCTGGGAGGCAAGAGAAGGAGAAAGCGGGAGCAGGGAGGGAGTATGGAACAGGGCACAGGCTACGCCTCCTTCGGGCACAGTCGGGGCCTTGACCTAAGGAACCCAAAATGAGGAACGAGGCCCCTGCTTTCCGTAAGTTGAACTTCGATTTCCTGTCGAAGAGCTTAGGAAAACCTGAGGCAAGCTGCGAAACACTTAAGGAACGCGGAGCCCCTCCCCAACCAAAAGGGTTCCTTCTTCAGGGCCCCGACTGTATCATCTCTCGTATAACCCGTGCATCTGCGGGGGTCTGGGGGCGATTCCGGCAGGCCGCCCACCTTCCGCGGCGGCGATGGCGGCGGCGGCGGTGGAGGTGGCCGCGCGGACTCTCCAGCCTTCGGCGGCGGGGGCGGCGGCGGCGGCGGCGGCACGTCTTCCAGATCGTCGAGGTCGAGGTCAGCGAGCAGGTCGTCGGCTTCGTCACTCGTGAGCTCGAGTATCTGGTTCTGCGCCTCCTCCAACAGCTTCGCGAGTTCTGCCTCACGTCTCCTCGCGGCATCAAGCTCCTTCGTGAGCACCACCTTTTCTTTCTGAACCTTGACGATCTCCTCCAGGCTTGCTTTCAGCTCTGTTTCCCTCTCCTCCTCGCGCTTGCGCGACTCCTCGAGGTCATCCTGCAGCTTTTTCTGCGCCGCCTTCATCTCCTCGAGCTGCCTCTCCAGATCGTTGGCCGTCTCTGCCTTCGAGACGGCAGGGGGGGGGGGGGCAGAAGGAGAGGAGAGGAGCAGGACGGGGACGAGGAGGGACGAGGCCGAAGCGGAGAACGAGAGCGAGCAGGAGGCCAAGGGCGAGGACGACATGGGGTGTGTGTGCGGGGGGAGGGCAGCAGGGTCATGGGGAGGGGGGCGAGGGCTACGTGCTCGACCGTGGACCACTCCTCCTCCTCCTCCTCCTCCTCCTCCTCCTCCTCTCCTCCTCCTCCTCCTCGCACCACGTCCTCCTCGTCCTCTCCTCCTCCTCCACCACCTCCTCCTCATCCTCCTCCTCCTCCTCCTCTTCCCTCCTCATCCCTCCTCGACCCTCCTACCTCACTCCTCCACCTCTCCTCCTCCTCACTCAACCCCGCCTCGAACCCTCCTCCTCACTCTCCATCTCCTCTCCTCCTCCTCCTCCTCCTCCTCTCCCCTCCTCCTCACCCTCCTCGACCCTCCTCCTCCACCTCCTCCTCCTCCTCCTCCTCCTCCTCCTCCTCCTCCCCCTCCTCCTCCTCCTCCTCCTCCTCCTTGTTACCAATTGCTCCTGGGCCGTCTTCGGTGGTCGTCGGAGACCTCTCGGCGGTCTTCGGCGGTCTTCTGGCGGCTTCCGGCGGTTTTGGGGCGTGTTATGCCGGAATTCGGGGCGAAAGCTCTGGACGGCTGCGTTCGACAAGGGGCCAATGATCGAACACCTGGACATGGGATGGGAAAAGGGGGGGCCGGGGGCAGGAAGCGAGGCGCAGGAGAGATACCATCGGGCCTAGGACAGAAGACCGCCCTTCAAGAACACGAGACCCTCCGCCGCCTTAAATGGGAGAGCACTCGAGGCTAACCCCCCCCCCAGAGGGTGCACAGGAACATCCGACGAGCACGAAAGAGGACCGTGGGGCACCCTCCCCGAACCGACCTCGACCTCACACCTCGGTCCGGCCTGTGCACGGCTGCGGCCCCCTCCGCGCCTTCTGGTTGGCCAGGTCCCGCTCCATCTGCGCCTCCTCCACCTGGCGCGGTGCAGAGACGGGCCCGGCGCGAGAGGGAGGAGGAGGAGGAGGAGGAGGAGGAGGAGGAGGAGGAGGAGGAGAAGGAGGAGGAGGAAGAGGAGGAGGAGGAGGAGGAGGAGGAGGAGAAGGAGGAGGAGGAGGAGGAGGAGGACTGGGGAAGGCAAACAAAAACGTGCTCCCAGGACGGCGTACCCCCCCTCCGTGAGGTGTCGCAGCGGCCACCGTTCCAGCCACGGTGGGCGTCAGCACGCAGCCGTGGAGCGTCCCCGGACATGCGACGCCCTGGCTTGTTTTGAATGCGCGGCCCCCCTGGAGTCCGTCCCGACCCTTTCTGAAGGGGCCCCAGGAAACACAAATAAATACACACAAATAAAACTATTCCCCATGTTTTCCCATATTTTCTGGGTCTCTGTCTTCCCCCCCACTGATTTTCTAGGGGAATCGAGGATGAATTGTGTCTGTGTGATTCTTTTCCTCCTGACTTTCCCCGGGACCAGGTTTGCATCCCGAGCCGTCGTGTTCACAGTCCCGGGGACTGGCGAGGGCCCCTGGAGGCCGAGGGTGAACAGACACCTCCCGTCGTGTGTGTGTGCGTGTGTGCGTGTGTGCGTGTGTGCGTGTGTGCGGGTGTGCGGGTGTGCGGGTGTGCGGGTGTGCGGGTGTGCGGGTGTGCGGGTGTGCGGGTGTGCGGGTGTGCGGGTGTGCGGGTGTGCGGGTGTGCGGGTGTGCGGGTGTGCGGGTGTGCGGGTGTGCGGGTGTGCGGGTGTGCGGGTGTGAGGGTGTGCGGGTGTGCGGGTGTGCGGGTGTGCG